GCCAGATGAAAATATTTTCTGCTGGCAACTTACTATCGAAGGGAAATGCGAAAATCCGTTTTCGATTTTGCCATGGCAAAGGGAACATGCACCCACCTTCAACTCATCTCTTTCTCGCAAAATTATACCTTCTTTATTTTTTTTTTCCTCTTCTACTTTTCCTTCTCCAATGATTGTTGTGGAAAGAAAGAGAGAAACAGAGTGTTGAAACGATTTCAAGGGGCTGCAATATTCAATATAAAATGACATTTCTTTTGCTTCTTGTACAATCCTGCGCTGCGTGACATTAACAGTTGAGCAATTGCTTGAGTTACTCTGAATGCAATGCTTATTGCTTATTAGAGTTATTGCTTAATGGGGAATCAATTAAAATGTAAGATAATGAAATAGTATCCACTAATTAGCACTTAATCGTTTGATTTCAATAAAATTTGTGAATCGCTGATAAGGTGGAACATGTCGCCAAAACGGATGAAATACTGGTATACTAGAATGAAAAGATAATTTTTACCTTTTGCAGGACGAACTTTACATTCTTGTCACATTCGTGTCAAATAAAACCCTTAATGTTTGACCCTTCAGTTCTCCTTGCCTTCTTTTCATTCATCGTAGTCAAATATTAACGATATAAGGAAGGTAGAAGAGATAAAATGAATTTCGGCCATGTGAAGGTTACTGATCTGTGAACAATTAATGAATGGTTCAGGTTTGATTATTCTTTTTGTATTTATTGGGCATATAGATTGACAGTAATGATAACAATTAATTATTTTCACTGCATGTCTTCTCCCCAAAACCTTATTTTTCTGGGTGTTTAGTAACAATTTCCAACATTGAGATACGCGACGGTGGCGGTCGGACACGTTTGGAAGAGCTCCGTGTACATTATTCTTTTAACTTTGTTTTGCGTCATTGCTCCCCGGAAACCTGATTTCCAGTCATTCTTAAACCTTTCATTTTCCCTAGGCTATAGTCTGAGAAAGCTGGTAGTCCAAGAATCCACAGCAAAATGTTTATCAAGCCGCTCTGTGGCCGATGGCTTGGTAAGACGCCATATTGGAATCCACCTTATCAAGCGTGTAAGATTTACTCATTGCAGAGTAAACTATTACAATAACTGTGACGCCAGTTTTAATCTGGAGTTTTTCAGCTTATGTGGTGACATCCCAACCCCGGACCCACTGCAGGAAAAACCGCAAGCAAGTGTTCCGTTTGTGGACGTGCCGTGGCTAAGAATCAAGTAGCGATTACTTGTGATAGTTGTTGCCAACAGACTCACTTAAAGTGCGGTAGGATAACTGCGAAACGCGACAAACAGCTTCTGTCTTGCTCAAATTATTGCTACTACTGTCCCATTTCTATAGGAAATTTGTCACAACAGCTACCTTTCGCGAATGTTGATAATATAAACGAACAAGATCCAGCTAATGACGACCCTCTTCAAAATATGGGCTCCCACGGAGAACCAACTATCAAGTTTCCACAGAAAACCAACAAGAAAGAATGCATAATTGCTCTTCTAAATGTAAATAGTCTTCCTAGCAAGTTTATTGCAATCAAGGAATGGCTTGTTGATGGTGTTTTTGACATTCTCTGCATTCAAGAAACGAAAATTAACAGCGCTTTCTCTAATTCTCAGTTCCATGTAAATGGGTACAATATCTTCAGACGAGATAGAAAGAAAGGCGGTGGTGGCGTCATAATCTTTGTACGTGAAAGCATCATAGCGATGCCCATCAAGATGGTATGTAAATTTATGGAAGCAATACTACTAGACTTAACTATCGGTCAAACTCGATTCGCACTGATAGCAGCCTACAAGCCCCCTTTACTTTCGACATGTACAGTCTATTGAATAAAGCTACTTCGCAGAGCGACAGCATTATCTGTTTGGGGGATTTGAATTGTGACATTAGTTATCCTTTGGATAATAATAATAAAGGGAGAAGTCTGCTGGACATTTGTGACATTTATGATCTGGATTCTTTAGATTATTCACCCACAAGAACATCTTCTCAGCGTTCTTCGTGCTTAGATGATATCCTGACGAATGTTCTACGTTATTTCAGGGAATCAGGAATTTTGAAGGTTGGCCTCAGTGATCATTGTCTATTTTATACAGTTCTAAATAAGAAATTACCGCAACCTAAAGCCGAAATTATCCGGGTGCGCTCTTTCAAGAATTTTGATGAAGGCTCTTTTTGTGGCATGATCCCACGAATGAGGAGATAATGACAACTTACTTAAGTTCTTCCTACTTCCACATCATCTAAACAAACATTTTAATTAGAATAAACACGAGACAAACATAAATTATGTGTTTGAAAACGTTTGAATTTACACGTAACTAAAGGCGGCAAGTTGAGCTTTTCTATCATTTTCATTACCTCAGAACGTTTTCAACAGAAATTTGTCTGTTCATCTAGTGTGGTCAGATCGAAAGAGTTATTTATGACTAAAAAGCTTCCAAAAAATCTTCATTAAGTCCTAACACTCAAGAAATAACCATAAGAGGTGTTTGGCAGATGATTGTTCGTTGAATTGCAAGAGAAGAGGAAACGTTTGAGGAATACAAATTTGTGCCATTATGGCACTTCTTAGATTCGTTTCTATCCTCAATTGACTAAGCTGGTGTATGCTTTTTGATAAACTTGTATGGCAAAGTCGCTCAAACT